TTGGTGATGAATATGAGGAAGATGAAGAGTACTTTGACTTTGGCTGCGACTGCGACAGTGACTGCTACGACTCTAACTCAGATTATTACTGATAAATGGCTGGTATTCTTTGTACGAAGTAACCTGCAGAAGGGGAAAAAAATGGTGTTTGAAGTCTCAACAAATTGTTTCTTTTTGTTCTCAATTGCTTGTCCATGAGGGTTTCTGTTTGATCAGTCCGGTTTGATTTGTTTTAGTACATAAGAGAGGGAGGAAGTGGTCGAATGAGGATTCTCTCCCGATTCTCTTTGTGAGAATCTTGGGGATCCTCAAATCGTGTCCGTTTATTATGCATTGTGCGACCAGTTTTCGTTAGGTACTATTCATATTTAATTATAAATAAAAGTATTTAAAATGATTTATGGCCGCACGATGTACGATAAACATGCACAATTTGAGGATCCCTACGATTCTCACAAAGAGGATCCGGAGAGGATCCTCATTCAACAGAGATGAAAAAATAGAAAAGAATTGGGAGATAAAAGGAAGCATAATACATACAAGAGCTTTTATATTGGAAAAAAAAGCTTTTATTTTGGGAGTAAAATTTTCTCTCCTTATATTACCATCCTTATCCGTCCCCCCTTTTCACACTATTCTTTTTGTCTTTTTCTCTATATAAAAAATTCAAACAAATTGTTGACGTGGTTTAATTGTAACTGTTTAAATAGAAGTGAAGGGGAAAGAGAATCTTACTCTTTTATTTTGAAAGGCTTTTTCAGCAAGTTTTCTTTAGTAATACGTGTAATAGAAAACGTGAATAGTTACAATTGAGAATAGAAGATTTACTTGTTGTGAAAGTCAAATTCAACTGCTAAAACACGTGTCGTGCATGGGAGCCACGCCTCCTTTTTATGGTCTCGTTCTTCATCACTTTAATCCCTGTGTTTCATTTCCACTTAGGGGTGGGTACGGTTCGGTTTGGTCTAGTTTCACCATCAAAATGGAACCGGAACGGAAAAATTTCAATGATTCGGTTCAGTGCGGTTCCGCTTAAATTTATTACTAAAATCGTACGGTTCAGTTCATGACGGTTCTGGTTCCATTCATGCTGGTTTACGGTTCTAACCAAAATTATATATATATGTTTTTTCTAATTTTCTACTTCTAATATCAAACACATTTCAACCACAATTCAAGTAAATTTGAGTTTCCACTACTAGATCTACAAAATTTGTGACGGGAAGACAGAAAGTGTGCATATAAATATAAATCAAAAGATAAAAAATATCATATCAAGACCAAAGTGTAGATCTTAAATTAAAACTAAAATGTACATAATGCATAATATATTGAAAAAGAATGGAGAAAAAGAATGTATGGGAGAAAAGTGATAAAACAACAAAGGAGGGGGAGAGAAGTGAAGAAAAATATTGCACTTATGCATATAGTATTCTTGGAAAAATGTCTTATTTATATAAAAATAATAATAAAACAATAATTTATATTAAAAGCAGTTCGGTCCGGTTCCTTTGGTTCTTAATATTTCCAAACTGGAACCGGAACCATTTGAAACGGTTTGGTTATGTTTTTGTTCCAGTTTTGACTTTTTTGGTCAAAGCTATTTTTTACTGTTTTTTTTGTCACGGTTCGATTCGATTTTCCAGTTTGGCGATTTTTATGCCCACCCCTATTTCCACTCATCATTAACGTTTTTAGCATTTTATCTATTTATTTTAGTTTAGTTGTTCCCTCAATCACTTGTACAATGTGTTTGTTTTGTTATTATAAAAAAATTGTCACTTAATAGTATGATCTAGTGATATTCCTCTTTACTTGTAAGTAAGAGGTCTTACTTTGATTCTCGTCAAAGGTGAATTTAAACCACATTAGTGCTAGCCCATTGTGAGGCTAAACCCCCCTCTCCCTTAGTGAAGATAATATCATTTGTTAAAAAAAAATGTACTAATATCATTTTACATAAGGAAAAAGCTAAGGAGACATGCTTGTATGTAGACCGAGTAATGCTAGGGAGAGATCATCTATTTAAATTACATTTTGTAAATCATATGATGTGTGTGGAGCCAAAAATAATGCGAAAACTTATGAAGTTGACACGTGAGCTTTTACCCGAATAAGACAAGAATGCCTCCTTAAATTGGTGGGGCTCACATTTTAATCTATGCGTAGTTCAACATTCCTAAAGACTCAAGCATGGCTACAATCTCATCGAGCACCTGACCATGACGAGGAGAAAAGTTAAATATATTAAAGATATAATTAATTACTAAATCTTATCTTTAATACTTTCCTAATTGAAGAATAACTACATTCGACTAAGGATATTATTAAGATAATTCCAAGATATTATTTATTAAATAATATCTTTGGGATAATTTTTCCTCATCCATCTTACAGATGATTTACTTTGGCCAATTGGATGCTGATACGTGCCTGGGCAAACTCTATATGTGGTCGGCCTAGCAAGTACCTATCTTCACCAATTATAATAAGCTTTGAGAAATTTTATTTGAACCCATAAAACTTCTTTCTACACCCAACTTAAATTTTAATTTTAAATTGTCTTTTTTACCCTATTGCATAATTGTCATCAAGTACAAAATGAAATTACAATAAAATTAAAATTTATCAATAAACTCACACCCAATAATTAGCAATCTTTATCTTCTGTTCATCATGGCCAAAACCAAGAGCTCTCATAAAGAAAAACAAGCTCTTTTTGATCCATGGATAATGATTTTGAAGTTTTGAATCTTCTAACTAAAGCATGAATCGATTTATGCAAGTTTTTTTCATTTGTTTTCAAAAAATTTTAGAGTTTAGAAACAAGAATCAATGATTGCGGAGTTTCTTATATTTTGTGCCCTCTTCGTATGTCCCTTTGAAGTGCATCTTTCAGAGCATCTCCAAAGGAGATGTTAAAATGTTCAAATCAGCAATAACAGTAACAAAAGACAACAACAATGATTTCCAACCGAAAAGCCAAATCTGATGTGGCATGACATAGATTGACATATCTCCCCCTTGTTGGCAAATTTGACAACAACGTCAAATGCTTTTTAGTTAATTATTAAATATTTTTTTTATTGTTTTCTTCTTCAACTCCTTCTTCTCCGAGCTCAACTCCTCCGACGAGGTCTCCAGCACCTGGGCATCGTCCAACGCCTCCCCCTTTTTCTTTGCCTTATCCGAAATCTTCTGAATCGAAAAATTGCAGTAACTCTTCAAAATCCCATCCAATTCCTTCGCCAATCCCTCCTGCCCTTTCGACGCAATCATCAATCTGTAGTTCAAAAAATTGTCCAAATAGTTCGTCTTCGCTTTCGGGTCCGATTTGGGCCTGGAGTTAGAATTTGGCAGGGTGTAGAGGGAGAAGAAGTAATGCAAGTGGTCGAGCTTGATGGCACCTTCGTCCTTAGCCAGAGGCCACTAGATCTCGTCACCGACTTGGTTGGAGCCGATGCTGTAGGCGGAGTAGAGGGGTGGTATTGGTAGGTAGGGTTAGGGTTTTCGAGGAATAGATTTTTGTAGAGGTCTTTCATGTTGAGGGAAGGGTAGAGATTTGGGGCTAAGGAGTTTCTGGGTTCGAGTGGATGATCTCCGAGGTAGAGGTCATATGAATTTCTGGGACTAGTATTGTCATATGAATTTCTATTATCAAATTATTTATATATGTAAAAATATAAAATATATAATAGCAATTATGAAAAAAAAAAATTTGTGTAATAAAATAATAATTTAATTTGAGTAAAATTTTAAAAGATGTAAAAATGCCACATAGGCTATCAAATTCAAATTTTATGTTTAAAATTTGACATCTCCTTTGGAGATGGTCTTACTTCTCGATAATAGTTACAAATTCGCAAGAAAGCATCATTCTATGTTGTCTGCACTAAAATAGCAATAACGTCTCCTAGAAATATTGGAATCACGAACCATAAAATTCTCCATAAACTAGATGTCCAGATCTTTCCCAACATATAAGGCTCAATATTTGGTTTGTCTCCAGGAATTACAGTTTAATATTCAAACTTCACAGATCTGCACAACAAATCTTTGATTTTGGTATGTCTGAACTAAAATAGCAATAATGTCTTTAGAAAAATCAAAATCACGAACCGTAATTTTAGGGCAATGCTAAGGGATCATCTATTTAAATCATGTTTTGTAAATTATATGATGTGGGTGGAGCCAAAACAATTCGAAAAATTATGAAGATAACATGTGGACATTTACTTGAAAAAGACAAAAATGTTCTTATTAAATTAACGAAGTTCATATTTAATCTACGTGCAATTCAACATTCCTAAATACGTGAGCACCTAACTACAACTCATCAAACTCTCATGCCCCTGCCTATGGCAAGGAGAGAGAAGATTCAAATTTAACATCGTTCTACATCAAAAACATAATTCAAAGACAACGAATATTCCGAAAGTGAAACATTTCCATTCTAGAATAGCAGTACAACCATGATTGTGGCTAGTGAGGAAGGAATAGAAATTGAATGGTGCTACCAAAACGTACGATACTTTCAATAATTTTAAACAAATATCTAACCGTTACAAAGTATAAAACTTCTACTATTTCAAATCAGAACTTTTTTAAGTACTCCGAGTATTGGATACAAATTAGAGCTTTTTTAAATATTTCGAAATATATGGTATGTTGAAATTTTGACCCAAGGACAACATACTTTATCAACAACAAACTTTACAATACAAATGATCAAATTTTACAACAAAAAGGAACTTGGATCCTCTCTTGAGCCCAAGGAGAGGATCCTCTCTTGAGCCCAAGGAGAGGATCCTCCGGACTAAAAGACTTGAGGCCGTTGAATGAAAATTCAATGGTTACAAACAGAGAAACCCTTTAAAGTTATAATAATTATAGTCGTTAGATGAAATAGAAAATGCTCTTCTTGGGATCCAAGTCCAACAAAAAGCCCCAAAAAAACATTAAAATCGATACTCCGGAGCACCCGAAATTTTGCACCCGAAAACCCCCGAACATCAACCCATTATCCGACGCAACGACACCCCCTTTACTCATCCCTCTGTCAGTCTACATGGCAACCAGAGTCTCACCCGAAGACGACGACGTATTCGTCTCGGTCTCCGAGCAACGCCGCGAGTTTATGGAAGCCAAAGCCTTAGAGTCCGACATGGATCTCGCCTTCCACCTCCAACTCCAAGAGGCCCTTGCCGCCTCCCTCACCCTCCAACCCTCCTCCTCCTCCGCCCAATCCCTGGAAAAAGACGCCGTTCCGATCATCCCCGACACTCCAACCGTCGTCTCCATCCAGTCCGGCGAACTCGCGAGGCTGGAGCAGGAATTGAAAGACCGCGAGCAGAGCGAGATCGAAATGCGGAAAGCCAGAGAGGATCTCGAGCGTCGGATTCACGACGATCAGGTCGCGAGGGAGATCATGAGGATTCCGGAGGAGGAGTGGGAGGAGTCCGGCGAATTCTTCTCCAAGCCGTTCGGCGAAGGATCATCCTCGTCGTCAGCGTCGGCGAAGAGCGTCGAGAGCGAGAGCGTATTCAGGCTATACTTCAAGGGTTTGGTGAGCGAGGAAAGGGTTGGGAAGGAGAGGGCGGCACTGGCAGGAATTGGGGTGGCGCTGTGCGATCCGAGGGACAATTTGTTGCTCGAGGTCAGGAAGCCGCTGATTGGGACCGGGACGAGCGGCAGTGGGGCCCAGTTGAAGGCCTTGATCGAAGGGCTGAATGCTGCACTTGCTTTGGATTTGAAGCGCCTCACCTTCTTCTGTGAGAATCGGCACATTTTCCAGTTTGTGAGTTGCTCTCTTCTCTTTATCTGCGTCTCTGTTGTGGGTTTTTGATGAAATGTAGTTTTTGTGGTAAATTTTAGGAATTGAATTGTGGGTTTTGCGTTTCAGTACTGTTCTATCTTAGAAGTTTAGAACACTAATAAACTTTCGAAATTCGATAACGGAATGTGTAGTATCCATGGTGGACAGGATAATGCACTCACTCTGAGAAAGTTTAGTTGTGTTTTGTTAGTATTTGCTTAATTAAGCTTCTATGCTATATTTGGTTATGGAATTTGACACTGACCTTTAATAAAACTTTCGCGAAAGACGAATAAAAGATGCAACTTGTTATTTTTTATAGTTGCAATGTTCTTGGAATTGTATGTGGGTTGTGTGAATTTTCATCTCCTATCCTGGACAATAGTTTGAACCTTCATTTTTCAGATGCACTTAATGAAATTTGATTGAACAAATTCACTGTGAGAAATTTTCTTTGTGTTCTCAGCATTTGCTTAGTTATTCGTCTGTCTTATAATTGATTATGGACTTTATGGTTTGAACTTATTAGAGAGAATGGAATATGTTATGAATTATGATATGACATAAGCAATGTTGTTTTATTTATGTCGAAACCAAGAATGTTGGATCTGCTAGTTACTATGCTTGAGTCTCTTTACACCCATAAATGGAGCTTTGTTGGCATTTTAAATATGTATTTTACATATGTAGATAACTGGTAAATGGACAGCAAAGCAGCGCAAGGTAGCAATGCTTGTCAGTCAGGTTAAGAGCCTTCAAGCAAAGTTTACAGTTTGCAATCCAATTCTTGTGCCCCGATTTGATATTAAATTTGCATTTAAACTAGCAAGAGATGCAATAGATTCTCAGTCTCAGACTAACCAGCCTGCACAATCTATCACCTCCAAGAATGTGAATGAGATTTGCGTGATATGTTTGGAAGCTACTGATGTTAACCAAATGTTTTCGGTTGATGGCTGCCTGCATCGGTATTGCTTTTCTTGTATGAAACAACATGTAGAGGTGAAGTTGCTTCATGGGATGATTCCTAGATGCCCTCATGAAGACTGTAAGTCTGATCTTACTGTTGATAATTGTGCAAAATTCTTGACACCTAAACATGTGGAGACTATGCGCCAACGCATAAAGGAAGCTTCAATTCCTGCCACAGAGAAAGTTTATTGCCCGAACCCGAGGTGCTCCGCTTTAATGTCAAAACGTGAACTTTTACAAGACGTGAAATCGCGGGATGTGGAACTATCAGGAGTTCGAAAATGCTTGAAATGTCAGTGCCTTTTTTGTATCAATTGTAAAGTCCCTTGGCACAGAAACAGAACATGCGCCGACTACAAAAGGTTGAATCCTTGTCCCTCAGAAGATACAAAGCTAAAGTCTCTTGCCTCAACGAATCTGTGGCGCCAGTGTGTGAAGTGCAACCATATGATTGAACTAGCTGAAGGTTGCTACCACATGACTTGCAGGTATTTACTATTTAATATTATTTTCAGTAAACTAAAAACCTGAGAGAATAAGATTTAGTGTAGCATTACAATCTGTTTCTGTCTTTGAGGTGTTGCACGCACTATTGATGTCATAACTCGAAAATTAAAAGGTCATACCTTTGGCTGTTATATGAAAACTGTTGTATTATATTGTAATAGAAAATTTGAAAGCTGTTGTATCAAGTTTGCAAGCGGCTCTATCTACGTCATTTTATTACTCATCCTAATGCATTGATGTCTTTTGCAGGTGTGGGCATGAGTTTTGTTATAATTGTGGAGGCGAGTGGAAAGACAAAAAGCCAACGTGCTCATGCCCACTGTGGGATGAGGGTAATATTTTGCATGATGAAGATGATGAAGATTTTGATTTTGATGAAGAGGATGTGTCAGAGTCAGATTCCGAGGGGTATTATGATTCTGACTCGGTCATAATGTTCTAATAACATCGCCCTCTAAAGAGGCCTTACCTCAAATTTTCTCTGTTCGGAACATATTTTATAATATTTATGTCAATATATATTGTGGAAAGTATGAATCGAATTTCTTTATTTTGATTCTCAACTGCTTGTTCACAAGGCTTTTCCATCTCTTAATTATTGTATAGAAAGGAGAACATACAGTGAAAAAGAGCCTGCACTGCCACAATTGAGCTCATAAATAACGTCATAGTGAATATGTTTTATAATGTTGTGTGTTGTGTGTGTTTCAGACTGTACCATCGTTTGAGATCTGCGTTTTTCTCGGTATTATGCTTATCGTAATTGAAATCTATCGAAGATGTATTCACTTAGTTTGCAAGTAACTATGCTTATGGCATTTCGGTAATCATGTTCGTGCTGTTATTGCTTTTGCAGACATGCTCCTGGGTTTTGCAATGACTGTGGACAGTCTACAGACTACACAGGAGCATGTTTATGCCCAGTTTTGTTTGAAGATGATATCTTGTTTGACGGAGATAGTGATACTCAGGAGTTGAAAAAAGATGAATATGAAGGTGAAGTTAAGGATGAAGGCCCAGAAGAAGACGGATATGAAGATGAAAGTGGGCAGGAGGTTCAGGAAGAGAAGCATATCTTGCCTGCTGAAGATGGTAGAGATATTGATGAAGAATATGAGGAAGATGAGGAGTTCTGTGACTCTGACTGCGAATGCTATGAAGATGAGGTTCATGAGAAAGAGGTTCGAGAGGACGTTCAGGATGAATGGTTGGAGCAAGGTCAGGAAGACGAGAACTTCTATGCGGAAAATGCTACAGATTTTGGTGACGAATATGAGGAAGATGAAGAGGAGTATTGTGACTCTGACTGCGACCGCGACTGTGACTGCTACGACTCTAACTCAGATTACTACTGATAAACAAAAATATGGCTGGTAATCTTCGTACGAAGTAACCCGCAGAAAGGGGGAAAAAATGGTGTTTGAAGTGTCAACAAATTGTTTTATTTTTTTTGTTCCCAATTGCGTGTCCACGAGGGTTTCTCTCCGCTTATATTACCATCTATTTCCATTCCTTTTTTCACTCTTTTCTTTTTGTCCTTTTTCTATATAAAATATTCAAATAAAATATTAACATGGTTTAATCGTAATTGTTTAAATATGAGGGTAGAGAAAGGGAGAGAGAACCTAATCCTTTATTTTGAAAGGCCTTTTCTGCCAGTTTTCTTTAGTAATACGTGCAATAGAAAACGTGAATAGCTGCAACTGAAAATAGAAGATTTACTTCTTGTGAAAGTTAAATTCAACTGCTAAAACATGCGTGCAGCATGGGAGCCAAACCTCCTTTTTATGGTCTCGTTCTTCATCACTTGGATCCCTCTCTTTCATTTCAGCTCATTGTTAACGTTTCTAGCATTTTATCTTTTTATTCTAGTTTAGTTGTTCCCTCAATCACAAGAATTGTCACTTAGTTGTATGGTTTAGTGGTATTTTTCTTTACTTGTAAATGGGAGGTCTTATGTTCGATTCTCACCAAAAGTGAATTTGAATCACATTATTGCTAGCCCATTGTGAGGCTAAGCCCCTTTCTCCTTAATGAAGATAATATTGTTTGTTAAAAAAAGAAATGTACTAATATCATTTTATGTAAGGAAAAAGCTAGGGAGACATGCTTGTATGTAGACCGAGTAATGCTAGGGAGAGATCATCTATTTAAATTATATCTTGTAAATCATAACGTGTATGAAGCTAAAAATAATGCAAAAATTTATGGAATTGACACATGAGCTTTTCTCCGAAGAAGACAAGAATGCCTCATTAAATTGGTGAGGCCCATATTTTAATCTATGCGTAGTTCAACATTCTTAAAGACCCGAGCAGCTGACTACAATCTCATCGAGCACCTGACCATGATGAGGAGAAAAGTCAAATATATTAAAGATGTGATTAATTACTAAATCTTATCTTTAATACTCGCCTATTTGAAGAACAACTATATTTGACTAAGGATATTACAAGATAATTTCAAGATATTATTTATTAAATAATATCTTTGGGATAATTTTTTCCTCATCCATCTTACGGATGATTTACTTTGGCCAATTGGATGTTGACACGTGTCAGGGCAAACTCTACATGTGGTTGGCCTGGCAAGTACCCATCTTCACCAATTCTGATAAGCATTGGGAAATTTTATTTGAACCTATAAAACTTCTTTCTACACCCCAACTTAAATTTTAATTTTAAATTGTCTTTTTTACCCTATTGCATAATTGTCATCAAGTACAAAATGAAATTACAATAAAATTAAAATTTATCAATAAACTCACACTCAATAATTAAACCTCATCATTAGCAATCTTTATCCTACGTTCATCCTGACAAAAACCAAGAGCTCTCATAAAGAAAAACAAACTCTTTTTGATCCATGGATTATGATTTTGAAGTTTTGAATCTTCTAACTAAACCATGAATCGATTTATGCAAGTTTTTTTTCTTGTTTGTTTTCAATTTTTTTTAGAGTTTAGAAACAAGAATTGGTGATTGTGGAGTTTCTTATATTTTGTGCCCTCTTCGTATGTCCCTTTGAATTGCATCTTTTACTTCAACAGTAGTTACAAATTCGCAAGAAAGTATCATTCTACGTTGTCTGCACTAAAATAGCAATAAAGTCTCTACAAATATTGGAATCACGAACTGTAAAATTCTCCATAAACTAGACGTCCATATCTTTCCAAGCATATAAGGTTCAATATTTGGTTTGTCTCGAGGAATTACAGTTTAATATTCAAACTTCACAGATCTGCACAACAAATCTTTGATTTTAGGATGTCTGGACTAAAATGGCAATAATGCCTTTTAGAAAAATCAAAATCATGAACCGTAATTTTAGGGTAATGCTAAGGGACCATCTATTTAAATCATGTTTTGTAAATCATATGATGTGGGTGGAGCCAAAATAATTCAAAAAATTCTGAAGCTGACACGTGAACTTTTACTCGAAGAAGACAGGAATGTTCTTATTAAATTGACGAGATTCACATTTCATCTACTTTCACTCCAAAAAAAAAAAAAAAAACAAAAAAAACACTTTTCGTCTCCACCGCCCGATCATGGACGTTCGTACGAATGGAGACGACCTCGACACCATTCTCTCCGAGCAGAGAGCTCATGACGGCCAAAACCCTAGACTCCGACCTCGAAATGGCCTGCAAACTCCAAATGCAGGAAGCCATGACCACCTCTCTAGCCGTCAAACCCTCGTCGGCTTCGGCTTCGAGTTCGCACAACCTTCTGCCTCCGTCGCCGCCCCACGACGGCTCGAATGACGCCATATTAGAACTGGCCGCCACTCTTATGCTCGAGGACGTCGAGCGGTTCGCTCAGGAGCACGAGGACCACGACCGCACCGTTAATGAGACGGCGGAGCTGGAGGCCATCGTTGAAGGGCTTGACAACGCTCTCGCTCTGGACTTGAAAGCTGTGACCTTTTTCTGTGATGACTACATGATTTACCAATATGTGATGACTACATGATTTACCAATATGTGAGTTTTAGCAGTTAAACAATCGCTTTTTACTTATCAATCTGCTTGCTTTTTTTGGGGAATTAATTTAATTTTTTGGTGCTTTTTGTTTGGAATTATTGGGTGAAAGTTAAAGATAATAGTGTTGACTTGTTGCAATCTTTGGTTGTATGAACTGGTGTGTATTTTGGTATGTGGGGCATTGCCACTACACATCGTGTGGGTTTAGTGGGAAGTGTGACAAAGGTAGTTGAATTGACAATTTCTAGCCTTGGACCATAGTTGTTGAACATGGATATCAATCGTCGTGATCTGCTTAGTCGGGTTTTAGTTAAGCGGTTCGGTTGGCTTAATTTGTTTAAGTGCAAGGTAACAAATGCTGCTCTTTAATTTTTGAAAGTGTTTGGAACTGTTAAATTTAGCCTGCAGAAGCTGCAAGGTCTAATCCCGAGCAACTTGATATTTGAGATTTGGGAGAACAAATAGTTGTTTTGATAATCCTGTCCTGAAGTTTGTGACAAAGCCGACTATTAGTATCAGTGTGTTGGAATTTCGTATTACACTATCAGCAATGCCGTTCGTGCAGGTGGATGATTTTGTTACTGTAATAAATTTGTTATCTTTTCTTGGCGATGTATTCTGTCAAGATTTGCTGCTTCTGTTAATTATGTATTTTGTTCATCCAAAAGGAAACAAATCTACCTAGAAAACCGGATTTCTGATGTTTTCTTTATTTATTTTTCTTGTTATCCGTAGTATAATCCATGTCTTTGCTATGACAATCATTAGTCGTGTTTATTGAATAAAGCATGCTTAGCATAACAGAACATTCTGTTTGGTGCTACTTACGTAGATGATTGACATCTTATAAATACAGGTCACAAACAGATTGCATCCTGGAAACAGCAAGGTTGCCACGTTAGTCAATCAAGTGGCTCTTCTACGGAGAAAATTTGTATATTGCATTCCTTCTCTTGTGGCACGGAGTGACATTAAGTTTGCACTTAAAGACAAGCACAGCCAAGGCATGCACAGCCATTTATACGTGAACAGCAAAGGCACGCACAGCCAGTTCAACGTAAACAGCCACGGCAAGCACAACCAATTATAGATGAACAGCCACGACGATGATCATGATTTATATGGCTTTGTCAGATTACAACTGAAAATATTTAGGCTAATAGTCTCTTTTTTTAGCCTTTTCTTTTCATTTTGTTAATGTTTGGCACATTAATACATGGCTTTTCTATCCTGCACACATTACTGTGCGCATCAAGTGAGCATGCCCCAAATGAAATCAAATCCCAGCCTTTCATTTTTGTAGCTTAAACATGAGCGGCTGTGATGAGTTGTGGCCGGCCGATGCTTGGCCCGGTCCTAGGATAATTGGCCCTATAAATTGGAAGATCCGAGCTTTGTTAGCCGGACCAATAGACGTGGTTCGGTCTTTACCAGTGGCCCAGAATTTCTGTAAAACAGGCCTTTTCAATCTATCATGTATGAAGAAATGAATGTCAACGGCTGAATTTTTCCACGTCGTTGAACAGTAAAAGACGGATTAGCTGTAAAGGAAACTTATAATTTCAAAGCCTTCCATTCAACTTTTGCCTTCAATGACAAAATTTAGAAGTTATGTCCATTTCTTACTTCCACATTTATTTAATTTAATGAATTATCCAATTCAATTTAGTTTTAGAGACCCAACGAGATCTACTATCATAGAGGTAAACAACATTCTCCTTGCGAATAAAAGTTGCATTCAAACTTCATACATTGAAAACCATAACAAGTCAATACTCTGAGTCTTTTTTATTTTATTTTCATACAATAATATATTTGTTGTATGCCTAATTTACTGAACTATTCTAGAGGGAATAGGTAGAGGGGGCTAGTGGCAAGAGAGACAGAGTAGAGAGATTTAATTGTGAGGTGTATTGTTTTCCACCCTATTGTGCTTTATTTATAGTAATAAGGAAGGTTAATTCTTTACCCTAATAGAATTACAACTCTAATAGGATAATATTTAACCCTAGATAATCTTCTAAAGATATCCGAAATACTTTAGGATTTACACACTCACATTCCTAAATTAAATATGATTGCAACACTCCCTCTTGAGTGTGTAAATACTCAAACAAAACATTGCATTAGGTCTTCAACAGATGAAGTAGATTAGCTCATGAAGTCATCGGCACAACGGGCGAATGAGAGTCTTGAATTAAAGAAAGTATGCATTGGTAGTAAAATTCACAAAATCTCGTTATGGTAAAACCTAAGGGGGTACAAAACCCATAAACTAAGGAGAAAAGTGAGAAGTATGCATAATGTCTAAAACAAACATCATACGGGACGAAAGTAATGAACCTCAAAGAGTATGATCATCCCATGATGGGTAACCTATCAAAACCTCGTTAGGTAGCAAAAATCTAGTGGGAAAAATGCTCCTAATTTTAGGGAAAAAAGTACATTAAGATCAACTGAGTATATTTCGGGATACTCCCTCTGAGTTAGACATAACTTTTAACTAAGAGAACTATAAGCAATTCAAACATAACTTTTAAATAAGAGAACTATAAGCAATTCAACTCAGATAATTTACGCATATCGATTCTTTGGTCGAGTTTCTGAAAATTAGACTTGGGTAATGCCTTGGTGAAGAGATCGGCCAGGTTGTCCTGGGAACGAAGTTGCTTGACTTCAATGTTCTGATGTGTTGTTGCTGGTGAAAATAAAAGAACTTTGGCTCAATGTGTTTGGTGTTGTCTCCCTTGATGTATCCCTTCTTCAACTACTCGATACATGCTGCATTGTCTTCAAAGATCGTCGTAGGAAGGTCAATGACAGTAGAAAGATCATTATTGCTTCGAATATGTTCCACGACTGCTCTCAACCCAAAGCATTCACGCGAGGCTTCATGCAAGGCGAGAATCTTAGCATGGTTCGAAGAAGTCGCAACTAGAGTTTGCTTGGTCGACCTCCAAGATATTGGGGTGTCTTCAATGGTAAAGACATATTCCATTTGAGAATGTGCCATATGTGGATCAGAAAGATTGTGCACCACTTTGCTATGCAAGAGATTGAAGCAGAATGATCAATGATAAGCCCACAGAAGTTCAAGTATGACATTGATATGCATCAGCTTAAAGAATTTGAAATTAGGAGGAGATACTCATCAGGAGGAGCATAAAAAACTGATCAAGATTTTAACGAGTCAATCAAAGACTTGTGGTCATCCAAAGGAGAGTGTGTAAATGAATGGATGCCCACTCAACAAAGAGGATGAATGTGGTGGCAAATAAAAAAAATAAAAACTAATGAAAATGACTTGAAAACTGTGAGTTTTAACCAAAATGATAAAAATGTGTTGTAAGTGAATAGTCTCATAAGTGACTTTTTAGAGTAAAAATATTATTTTTGTTAAAAATGAATAATACAAAGAATATTTCGTTAAAATTTCCAATAAAAAAGGGGGGACCAAATATGGTGGCTGCACAAAAGCAGCACTATGGTTTTTTAAATATCATTCCTTTGCCTATGAATAAGAAAGAGGAACACACAGGAACACACCGGCTCTGTACAAAGAAGCCATACGGCAGAAACAGAAGGAAGAAAGAAAGAGAGAAAAAAAAAATAGTGAGAATTATCTTTGTATTTCTATTGTTTTATATTATAAATGAAAATATCACTGTTATTCTAAGAACGTATTTTAGTCACACTAAATATAGAAGAATCTCATAAATTTTATGTTTTATTTTATTTATTTCACTACATATACCCCGCTGATTTTACAACAAATTACAATATGCTAGGGTATAAAAGAATAAAAATCTGTTTAAAGGGTTAGTCAACATTAGTCAAAGTAATTTTACAAGACACGTGGCTGAAAAAACTCACCCACCTTCCCTAACAAGGTTCCGCTTTTCCCCCCCCTTGATTTTTTCTGTCGCTTTAACTCCCCAAATACAAACCCAGTCTCAGCAGCAAAAGAAAAACAACCACTCTGCCACCCTTGTCTCCGAGCGGCGCAGAGAGCTCATGGCGGGCTAAACTCTAGACTCCGATCACGAAAAGAGGCCGATCATGGATTATCGTACGGACAGAGACGGCCTCGACGATATTCTCTCCGAGCAACGCAGGGAGCTAATGGCGGCCCAAACTCTAGACTCCGACCCCGAAAAGAGGCCGATCATGGATGACTGTACGGGCGGAGATGACCTCGACAATATTCTCTCCGAGCAACGCAGAGAGCTCATGGCGGCCCAAACTCTAGCCTCCGACCTCGAAATGGCCTTCAAGCTCCAAATGCAGGAAGCCATGACCGCCTCTCTCGCCCTCGTACCCTCTTCGAGCTCGCACAACTCTCCAGCTCCGTCGCCGCCTCACGAATGTTCATACGACGCCGTCTTGGACATAGCCGCCGCTCTGATGCTCGAGGACGTCGAGCGATTCGCTCAGGAGCGCGAGGACCACGAACGCACGGTATTGGAAATGATGAAGGCGAAAGGCGATCTCAGCCGTCGGATTCACGATCAAAAGTTCGCCGTCGAACTCCGCGACGTGCCCGAGGACTACTGGGCCCAGCACGGCGAGTATTACGAGCGTCCGTACTGTACGGACGGCGCGTCATCGTCAAAACCTGCGGTGGTGGTGGAGACTGAGAATTTGAGGCTGTATTGCAAGGGTTTGGTGAGCGAGGAGATGGTTAGGGATGTCAAGTCCGTGGTGGCCGGGGTGGGTGTCGCGATCTGCGACCCGATGGACAATCTGATATTCGAGGCGAGGAAGAATCTGGAGGCGGTGGTTGACGGCGTCGTGCTGAGCAATGAGGCGGCGGAGCTCGAGGCCATCATTGAAGGGCTTAACAAAGCTCTCACTCTTGACTTGGAAGCTGTGACCTTTTTCTGTGATGACTACATGATTTACCAATATGTGAGTTTTAGCAATTAAACAATCGCTTTTTAATTATTAATCTCTTTGTTTTGTGAATTTAATTTAATATTTTTTGGGCTTTTTGTTTGGAATTATTGGGTGAAAGTTTGTGTTTTTTGTTGGAGACAACAGTGTTAGACTTTATTGGCTTGTTGCAATCTTTGGTTGTATGAACTAACTATTGGGTATTTTGGTATATGGAGCATTGCCACATTGTGTGGGTTTAGTGAGAAGTGTGACGAAGGTAATTGAATTGACAATTTCTAGTCTTACTCCGTAGTTGTTGAACCGGGATTTCAATCGTAGTGATTTGCTTTGTCGGTCTTTAGCTAAGTGGTTCGGTTGGGTTAATTGGTTTAAGTGCAAGGTAACAAATGTTGCTTCTTAATTTGTGAAAGTGATTGGGACTGTTAATTTAGCTGCAGAAGCTGCAAGGTCTAATCTCAAGCAACTTGATATTTGGGATTTGGGAGGAGAATTAACAGTTGTTTTGATAAACCCTATCCTGAAGTTTCAAATTGGCATGTTGAACATTGTGCTCTGTTTGCTGCTCTTGTGTGTTAAAGCCAGTTACTAGTTTCAAATCAACATGTTAGAATTTTATACGTAACTCTCATCAATGAAGCATATCCAGAAAACCCATGTGTTTGATATGATGGTTGTTTTTTGTGTTTATGAATAAAGCATGGTTTAACAGAAAATTCCGATGTGGTGGCACTAGTGTAGATGATTGACATCTTACGAATACAGGTCACAAACAGAGTGCAACCTGGAAATAGCAAGGTTGCAACGTTAGTTAATCAAGTGGCTCTTCTACAGAAAAAATTTGAATATTGCAGCCCTTCTCTTGTGGCTCGTAGCGACATTAAGTTTGCACTTAAGATTGCAAGGGAGGCTATTGTTTCTCAGATCACCTGGCAGGCAGAAACGAGTGAAGGAAAGAGTTTGAAGGAGACTTGTGTAATTTGCTTTGAAGAAATCGATGTTGCTGAAATGTTTTCAATCGATGGTTGTCTGCATAGGTATTGCTTCTCTTGTATGAAACAACATGTGGAAGTAAAGTTTCTGAATGGGATGGTGGCAGGGTGCCCTCATGAAGGCTGTAAAACTGAGGTGAATATTGATAGCTGCGCAAAATTCTTGGCACCTAAGCTAGTTGAGGCTATTAGCCAAAGAATCAAGGAATCTGCTATTCCTGTTACAGACAAGGTTTATTGCCCAAATCCGAAGTGTTCTGCATTAATGTCTAACAATGAGGTCTTAGAATATACCAAAACTTCTTTTGTTGGTGCTGAGCAATCTGGAGCCAGGAGATGCAAGAAATGTCTTTACTATTTTTGTATCAATTGCAAGGTTCCTTGGCACTTCAATATGAACTGCTATGACTATAAGCGATTAAATCCCAATCCCCGCCCAGAAGATCAATTGCTGAACTCACTGGCTAAGAAGAAACACTGGCGTCAGTGCACCAAGTGCAGCAATATGGTTGAACTCGCAGAAGGTTGTTACCACATAACTTGCAGGTATTACTTCCCTCCTCTCGCCTCCTTTCAGACTCATCTTTTAATTGTGTTGTTTTTGTGATCTTACATTATATTAGCAATTTTTTGAGAGGGGAATGAAACGAGAAAAGGATAAACAAAATATATAGTTAGTGAACTCAAGATGATCTAGCTGCTAGCAAGTTGACTACAAGAGCCTATTTATGCGTGCTGATCTAATTTACGTTCTTACATATTTCCCTTACTAGTTGCAAACTGTCTTTTCTCTTCTTTTACCTGCAATAGAAAAGTTTTCTCTTCTTGTTTTCTGCGTGCTGATATTTTTTCGCTTTACACCAATCCTTGCGGTTTGTCCATGCTTGCGTTGTCTTTGTAGATGTGGATACGAGTTTTGCTATACTTGTGGTGCTGAATGGAAGAACAAGAAAGCAACATGTAAATGTAAAATCTGGGATGAGCGTAACATCATACGTGAACAGCCACAGCGATGATCAGGATTACCATGACTCTCTCTTGTGAGATTATAACTGAATATTTGAGCCAATAGTCATAGTTGTTGTGCTTTCCACTTTTCCGTTGTTTTGGTTATTTGGTATGGAAAAAAGATTGGTGTAAGATGAGTGAGAACGGTTTTAGAGGACCAAAATTGGCGATGCTAATCTAATACATTGCCCAATTTTTGTAAATGTTTGGCATATTATGTTTTCCTCTTGCATTTAGCGTGCATCCTCTTTATGTTTTGAGATCAATTCTGTCTTCTGGTCAATCTATATGCCGAATCAAGACGGATGCCAAGTTGAAGGTAAAAGGGATTAGTTGTGGAGGAAACTTTATTTGACCTTCAGCGTTACGAAATTTAGGAAGTTACATCATTTTCTTGCTTCAATAAAGTTAGTGAATTATCTAATTCAATTCAATCATAGACACCAAACGAGGTCTCCTTGTTAAGATCCTATCTTTTGGGCTTGACCCGTTTAAGTACAATAAGCCCATTTAGATATCCAGGGTTGTAGTTTCCTCCGCTTGTATGTGTTTAGGTCTTTTGCTACTCATTTGAGAACCATGAAAATATTGAATGTTTTAGTTTTATCGTTTCTATCTAGTTCTCCCCCTTCTTTCCCTATGGATCCCATCAATCCTATCCTGGAAGCTCTTTCTCCTACCTTTCAACTTCAACAATTTTGGCATGGTTGAACCCTAACCGTGATGTAACTACCACGGGGTGATTCATTGGTTAGAGATGAATTTCAAGTTTGTATTTCACACAGCACATTCTGGGTTCTATTCTTGGTGCCAGTGAATCATATGATGGTGGCCAAGAGGAGGCTAAAATGTCTCTCTGTGAGTCTGCATGACCTCTAAAAGGATGAAATGTCATGGTAAAGCCACAAGCTGGTTCTTAAAAAAAAAAAAAAAAAAAAAAAAACCACCCCCAAATGATAGGTTGGTTGGTGTGCCCTAGTTTTCTGTATCCATGTGTGAATGTATGTAAAACTAATTTTAGTAGATAAAAACAACGAATCAACCAATATATATGCATCCCAAAAATATAAAGAGAGAGATTCTCACATGTAGATGTAGCCTGTAGGTGTGATTCTAGATTCTTCCAATCTATATGATGTGGTGTCGGTCAATCATTATTATTATTATTATTATTATTGTGTAGTATTATTTATTTGATAAGATTAGTAATATTATAGGAGTGAGGACCACCAAACCACCAAAATGATTGATTCCACCACCAAGCTTCCATGGGGCCTTGTTTGCCCAAAAGTTTTTGAAGTGTCATCGCTGTCGTGTGCTAGTGCTACTACCACACTTTTGCTGATTTTTTTCAGTGCTCTTCAAGTCTTTATGATTCCATTTATGTGTTGAGCAGGATTTAACAAGATTGAAATTTGAGTGTTCTATGATGGACTCTCACTTTTTAGTGACAACTTCAAAGCCACAATATGCTTACATTATTGCTGAATTTAAAAATATTCAATATTTATATGTTCATCAAACAACGTCCATAAATTTAGTTTGATTTAATTGAAAAAAAATTCTTTGAAAGTTGGAAAGAATTTCACACATTATTTTTAATTTCTCACACAACCCTCTTTATTTATTGTCATCAAATTGAATAATTCATATGAAATCAACAACCGGGATTAAATAGGGGCGTGCAAGAGACTAAAAATGGTGTGATAATCACTTCCCTTTCGCTTAAGCATAAAATTACTTGAGTATCCGTGCAACCAAGAAGAAAATAGATATTTTTGATGGTCGGAAAGACTCACGGAGGCATTTCTCCTTGCAAGCAAATTAGAGTTTAATGTGTATGCAGAAATTTATTTATTTGTAATTTTAATAAGTTACTTTTACATATGAGTCGCATATAGGCAAAGAGACACTACATGTCCAGATTATTGTATGCGTCAATTATATTACTAGTGATGTCATTCTTTGTCTATTTTTGTTGGAAGAGAATGATAATTTACATTCTCTATCTTAAGCTTTGATTATTAGATTAAAATGATGATGCGTGACTGATTGCGTTAGTTTGTTTTCCTTTCGATTCAAAAGCTAGAAACGAGAATATTGTGCTAATGCCGTTTGTATGTTTATATTTGGCCTATTCTGAACATCATTTATACTCATAAGCTTAGATAAATTCGGGTAATAGCCACTCAGCTTAGATAAATTCTTGTAGTATTTCTCTTCACTTAGAAGTGAGAAGTCTTATGTTCAAATCTCGTAGATGATGAATTCAATATCAAATTAGGTTATCCATTGTGTGGTTTAGCCGAACTCCCCATCTCCCTTAGTAACTCGACTTCATATACTTTCGTTAGGGCCGGCCCTAGAGCAAATACTAAATTAGGTCCTTGTCACTGTAAAATTTCCATAATACCTAAATGTGTTGCGGCTGCCATTTTCGTTATCTCTGTCCTTTTTGTGTCCCCTCTCACCTTCACACCCAAATATGGTTATTTTTCTACCAGGACTAAAATTTTTATTTGTAGGTACTCTAAATAAGATAATTCTTTCTGGAGCCCATGCCGGTCGCTCTTTGTGGCCTACCTCCTGGACCGGCGTTGACCATGGTAGTATTGCATCTTCGGTGCAAATTCTCATTCAAAGAAACACTTTTAAATAGATTATGGTCGATTTGCCGCTTAGTACTACAGTTTAGCGGTATTCCTCTTTACTGGTAAATGAGAGGTCTTAGGTTCAATTGTCGTAAAAAACGAATTTGAACTAGTTTATTGCTAGCCCATTATGGGGCTAAGCCCATCCTCTCTCTTTAGTGTATATAATATCCCTTATTTTTTTAAATACAAAAAAATAAAAAGATTACGGTCGATTTATATACCCTAGTAAAGAATGGTAGACTGGTTAACCTAGCAACTACAAATATGAACCCAAACACATCATTTTGCAAGTCCCATTTTACAACCTTAAAAGAAAAATTCTCATGTTACATAAATTCCTAATCAATTCACATAGGCTAACATAGGTGCAAACAAACATTTTACATGGTGTCTTACATACGGGTTTTTATATTGTGCACCAGGTTTTTTTCTTATGCACTGAGATTTTAAACCGTTGAATTTTTTTAGACTCTTTTGACTAAATAAAAATAAAAAATCCTTATCCTTTAATATCTGGTACATATCGTAAACTACAACACGGTAGCATTAAAAAAAAATTGGATAAGTCACGATTATTCACTCCTTTTGGAGACCGGAAAGACTTACAGAGACATTTCAGCTTCCATCTGCCCACAAGTCTGGCTTCTAGAGAAGAAGTGGGTTTCAAACCCAAGACCTCCAATTTTTAATTTGAAATAAAATGTTGTTTAGGAATAGATAATAGAGTTATATGAACATTATCAGATGAATTTGTGGTGTCTTGGTGATCACCAAAATATCAAACTAAGCTATTGTCCGCGTTTTACTTTTTGGTACCACTCTATTGTAGTCATATTACAACGACTTCACAAGCCATGGACTAAACTCACCAATCAAAAAAAAAAAAAAAAATTACTATTACTATTATTATCTTAGAGAGAGGGAGATCAGGGAGAACCAAACCCGTGCACCCTTACATAGCATTATTGTTTTTCGTTATTGTAGTAAAATATCATTTGCACTTCAATTGGAATTTTGATTCCAAACTTGACTTACTAAATATTGACTTTTAAACCTGTTAGAATATTAATCATTTTACATAATTCCGTTAGAACTTCGACCACTTGTTTACAACTGATTTTTTATTTATTACAAATGTAAATTTTAACAAAGTCATCCAGACGAGAACGATTGATACAAATTGTGAAAATCTGAGCCGTTGAAGTTGGAGCACCAACGTTCTAATATTTTCGAATATTTCCAAAGACGTGGCCGGCGTTGGCGCTGGCTCTGAAAGAAACGAGATCATCAGGATCGCGAGGAGAGAGAGATTGTGTGCAGGCGACAAAAGGCAGATGATGGTCGTTACCGCCCCACCAACCGCCACTTCCGCTATGTATTATTCTGCTGACGCACTGACAAAACGGATTTCCACCGTTAATCTCTACCTCAGACCCACTGCTGGCCCAACCAGAATTACCAATTCCTCACTGCCCACGACACCCGATCCCACGCGATCCAAAAAACAACCCATAAAAAATTACGGAAATAAATTCCATCAATAAAAAATGGGTAAAGAACGATTAAAAATTTAAACTAAATCATTTATTCTATAAAATTTAATTTATAAATTTAAAGAAAAACTAATGACAAATGTTTGAAAACTTTGAATTTTGACGAAAATAACAAAAATATGTTGTGAGTTAATAGTGTCAAGATTGATTTTAAAAGTAAAAATATGATTTTTCGATAAAATATGTTATCAGAATCGTTTGGTTAAAACTTCTTAAATTTAATCTAGTAATATTATTGCAGTATCACGAGAATGTAAAACGAAAAGTTTAGGTGAAAGATTGCGCAAAACAAAAATAAAAAGCAAATAAAAACAAGAGTAAAAATATGAAATTTCCAGAAAACAAACACGAAAATTCCACTGCAAGTCTGCAACTGCAAGAAACCAAAAAGGCCACCCGCTTTCTTTTTCGCACTCCACTTTTTCTCACCCTTTCGTTTTCAACCTTTCCACCCTCAATTTCTACCCACATTTCCCTTTTTTTTCTTAAATTTTTTCTTCAAAAACTAATCTCTCAATTTTCAACTCTCCATTTTTTCTTCCATTTCTTCGTTGGCCGCAGTTGCTCTGTGATTCAATGTCGGAGCCGGACACTGAACCCGAATTCTACGCGGGCCGGCCCAGGCCGTGGCTACCCAATGATCTTGTAAACGGGGGTGGAAGTAGCACGGGAAGGGCAGTGTATGGCGCCGTTCCGGGTGGCGTGGCTATGAGCCACAATGCGAGCGAGCCGGTTCCGCCGGAGACGCTGGGGGGACTGGTGCGGGAGTTCTCGAAAGCGGCGGCGGAGATGGCGGTGGAGTTCGGGAAAGGGTGCAGGGATGTAGTGCGGCAGAGCCTAGGGAATCGGGACTCGGTGTTGCGGAGGAGCTTGGGGAAGGTGAGGGGGTCGTACTTGGGGAAGAGAGTGACGCAGCTTCGCAGGAAATTGCGGTTCGTGAACGAGTATCTGCCGGAGGATAAGGACCCGATTCATGCTTGGTCGGTGATCGTGTTGGTCTCGCTTCTTGCTTTTGCAGGTGTGTGTTGTGTGCGGTCGTTTATCCGCTGTTTGGTTGCT